ATATAAACAGACAGGACTTGGGGCACATGCACAGACCCTGATAGCAGAGGGCGTTTCAGGGTTCTAGAACCTGTTAAATCACACACTGTGCAGATTTGTGTTCATGGAAGAATCTGAAGCCCGCTCAGCAGAGAGTATCACATAACACTGTGGTGGAAATCCTGCAGTAACTACAGGCTTGATGAGATTATCTTCACATTTAAATAAATTGAACAAGCCATTAGATATAACTGAATTTTTTTGATGTTGATTAGCAAGAATAATAAAGAGGAGCCCTTGATGTTGAAGTAGTTAAAGATTTGGCTGCAATTTAAACATTAACTGAAAGATCAGGGGTCCCTGGGAAACTGTAAAGGGCAGTTCTGTTGTGCCACCTGGGGCTTCTGTGGCTTGGTGGAGACCCCACAGCTCCCAGCAACAACAATGATGAAGGCAGCTAACATCGAGCATCTATTGAGTGCCAGGCATGCTGAAATTGTCCTTAAGATCATTCAAAGTAGCGTCTTAGGACTTTTTACTATCCAAACAGAAGCATTTCTGTCTAGCTGGATTAATAGACTTGCCCAGCTACACAGCTGGCAAGTGATGGAACTAGTAGTATTCCATCCCAGTTCATATGTCTCCATGTCCAGGGACCAGGTCACCACGAAATCCTACTATTGTTAGGAAATTCCAAAGTCATGGACATTGCTTTGGAAAACAGAGATGGGAGGAGCTTGCTTTTGCTGCCCCTTTGATCTGTCCAGGAATGCCCACTGTCCAGGAACCCTCCCAACTGCTGAGCGTAAAGTCTGCAGCATCATCAGCGAACCCACAGCTGCTCACAGCAGAGCAACGAGGCCTCTGCTTCCACAGGGAGTTACAGTCCGGAAACGCCATGGCCAGTTCTCCTCTGTCCCGTAGGGTCATTGTGCGTCAGAATTGATCTGGGGGGAAGAGGTTTGGTTTGTTTTTTTTAATCTACCTGTCTGTAATAGGAAAGACTTTGTTAGGTTTTGTTTAGGAGAAATAAGTTTGTGAAAAGTTGCTTTGACTATTTATTTGATTGGAGGGGAAAAAAATCAGTGGCTTATTTAGGAATTAGTGTTGTGATCCATTATCTGTGACTCAGAAGGACCGTATGTAGAACAGATTGAAAGCTTACCCCACCCCGTCCCAGCCTCCTTATCCTTGCCCGCCTTGAGACATCCTCAAGCCCATTGTCGTGGTCACTGCGTCAGTCTGTCTCATGAGAATTTTCTTCTCTTTCACTGGCTCTCTACTTTTCACAGCATAGTGTGTCCAAAGTATATGAGAAGAGATTTCACCATCCCTGCCTCTAAGGACCAGCCTGGTGGCACTTCCTTCAAGGGAAATTGGTTTGTTCCTTTGGCATTCCAGGATATAGTCAATACTTTTCAACAACTCCACAATTCAAAGGCATGACTATCTCTTCTGTCCTCCTTATTCATGGCCCAACTTTCACATGTGTGTGAGGCAATTGAAAACACCATGGCTCACAGCAGGCATACCTTAGTTTTTAAAGTGATATCCTTGCTCTTTGGCACGTTGGAGAGTCCTTGATAGCGGTCTTTCCCAATACAACATGTCTTTTGATTTCTTAACTGCTGCTACCATGGATGTTGTGTCTATCTGAGAAAAATTAAACCATTGACAATCTTATTACTATAATGAATGATTTAATGCAAAAGATAGTAAAGACAATTATAATTTAAAAATACGAACTAGGTTTTTAATTTCTTACAAAAATTACAAGGGAAAGTAATAGCTTTGTATTATAATAACCTACACCAGGCTACTCCTTGGAGGCAAGGATTCTGGGGCTTTGCCTGACGTACTTTGGACATGTTGTAAGGAGAGACAGGTCCTTGGAGAGGGACATCATGCTTGGGAGGGTGGAGAGACAGCACAGGAGGGGAAGACCCTCTATGAGGTGGATTGATTCAGTGACTGGGGTAATCGGGATGTCAGAGGCAGTGCGATTGGCGCAGGATAGAGCAGGGTTTAGGGCTGTTGTATACGGGGTCGCTATGAGTCGCAAATGACTCGACAGCACATAACAACAACACAACACACAGTGAACGGGCTAACTGGTGACAGAGCTCGTGGTGCCCGTGCAGTAGCCCGGCTCCCGGCTCCGGCGCTGACCCAGGACCTGCTCTGTGTCGTTGCAGCCTCCTCCCTGGTGGTGCCTCTGCTGAGTCCCTCCGTCCTCCTCCAGCGACTGCTCAACATCCTTCTGTCCCTGATGCCCACCTACCTGCTGCTAAGCACAGGGTACACATTTTGTTTGTTTTTCAATTTTGTAAGAGAACACTGACATTTTATTTTTTATGTTTTGTCTCCCAGTATTCACTATTTAGAAATGAAAATGTTTGGTACATGTTAAGCGTCAACAATACATGTGTGCATATTTCTCTGCCTTGGTCTTCAATCGTCTGATTTTCTTTTCCTCCCCTTTTCATAGTTTTTCCTGTGGTCTTCATCTTTTGGTTCCATTTTCTGAATTTTCTACATGGCATATTACTACTGAAAGTTCTGTTTGGCATTTTGCTACAGAGTTCCAAAGTTATGAGAGGTTAGGTAGGAATTTTAACCCTTAAATTGAAAAGACCTTTAGTTTTGTTATGCCCCTCTCATATAAATTCTGACTTTAACTTTACCACTATTTTTGCTTTTACTTCTTTCCCATCTGTTATAGTCTTACGTTTTACTCATAGGGAGCTCTGGCAGCTTAGTGGGTAAGGAGTCGTGCTGCAAACCCAAAGGTATGTGGTTCTATTCCACCAGCTGCTCTAGTAGAGAAAGACAGGCTATCTCTTCCAAGTGATTTAAAGCTCCTGAAAACACACTGGAGGGTCATCTATATGTTGGTTCAGACTGAATGACTCATAACAGTGAATTGCTTTGCTACAGGGAGTTGTCAGAATATTTCCCCAATAGTTAAATAACTAGTTTTCATTTAAAATGAAACATTTCATAACCAAAACACAGCACCTTGATTTGGAATTGATCCTGAAGTCTCCTCTATAATTCAACAAAAGCAAGATTTATTTTGCTTATGTTTTTTCCTTCATTTCTGTTTATGTCCTTATAATGATGAGAAATAGAAACAGTATTACAGATGCTGACTAGAATGAAAAATTAGTAAAAACTGGACACATGCATACACAAACACAAGTTCACATTTTGGTTCAAGTGTAAGATCATGGTTGACAGTGGACTAAACATAGCACTAAGTTTCGCTGACTTTTCAAAGCCATGTTGAGATCAGGACTTGGTTTGCTCTATCTCCCTGCAATCCCAGTTCTCTGTCTTTTTCTTTTATAACTGCTATTTAAGTCTCACTACTATTAGGAATACAGAATAAAGTAAAAATTTAATAGGAAGACAAGTATTAGAGTTAAAATTTAAATGTTAATGTTTTATTTCTATATGTCTTCTAGAAAACCTGACATTTGAGTTTTGTCATTTTGTGGCTTATTTTGAGAACACTCTTTCAGTATGAATTTGCATTTTGAATCCATAGCTGGTGTACTGCTTGTTTTCATTTCTCCCCCTTGGCCTAGGCACGAAGCTCTGTTTCCAATAATCTTGTCATGCTTCTTGTTCTCCTGGTTATACTTGGAGCAAGAAACTCTTCAACAGTCTGGTGCTTTCTCTAAACAAAAGGTAGCTTGTCAAAATCACCCCTTATTTTTTTTTGTAAAGTATTAAAGCCTTTCCTATTATATAAAAGAATGATATTTCATAAAACCCCCCATTTTACCCTGATTTTTTTCCCCTGTGTGTGACTTCCTCCCCTGAAGGTTGATACAGCCAAGAAAACCCTGCACCTCAGTTCTGCTTTCACACACGAGCTCGCTATGGACTGGAGTCAAGTCAGGGACGACAAACTTGAGGAACTTTTAGTAAAGCTTATTTAGAAGATATGGATAATTTAGCTAAACAAATTTCTGAGGAAAACTCGCTTTTATCCTAGAAAAGCAAAATTAATTCCCCTGTTAAAAAAAAAAAAAGAGAGGTAGCATATTAAAAAAAAAACAAAACCAAGGGGAGCTCTGGTGGCCTAGTGGTAAGGAGCTGCAACTAAAATCCCAGAGGCGCATGGTTCGAATCCACCAGATGCTCTGCCGGGGAAGGAGGGAAAATCTCCTCCTGTGCCAGTCAGATCTGATTTGACGGTACACTCACACACACACAAAATAATAAAATAAAATAAAAAAAAATAAAAAACGAAGCCAAATCCATTGTCATTGAGTGGATTTTGACTTTTAGCAACCTTCTTAGAATTTTAAAGGATTTTGGAATTTGCATAGCAATTCCCAAAAATTTCATATCTTAACATATCTGTAGAGAAAGTGTTCATCTCACAGACTTTGGACAGGCTATCAAGAGGGGTCGATCCCTAGAGAAGGACATGGTACTTGGCAGAGTGGCAGACAAAGAGGTAGCCCTATGTCCCCTGGGCTGGGCTGACACAGCGCCTGCACGTGTGGCCTCCACCACAGCTCTGAGGATGGCAGAGGAGTAGGCGGGATTGCCTTCTGTGCATAAGGCTGCTCTGAGTCCAAGACCATTTCTGTCTTTGATTGAAAATACGTAAGCATCACAAAATAGCTGCGTTCGATATCTTGCTGTTGTTGTTGTGTGCTATTGAGTTGGAACCGACCCACAGCTGACCCTTCAGTGGATTTTCAGGGCCAGGAAACCACACTGGAGGAGACTTCCCATCCTTCTCTCACGGAGCTGGCGGCATTTGAACCACTTAGCTTTGCGATGGCAGTACAGCTTCTTACCACTGTCTTAGAAGCAATAGAATTTACTTTCTGGTAGATTTTATTAAGGTGTAGTAGTTAAGCGGTAAGTACAATATTAATGTTATTGTACATGATAAATACTTGGACTGTAAATTTCCCTCCACATGTAAAAAGACAATTACTGCTCTGTACCAATATGTTGTTACTACCCCACAGCTCTCCAGTATTACATTTTCCTATCAGAAGGATTTATCACAGTCTCGACCACTCTGTCTGGATGACATCCGAAGGGTCTTTTTCTTTGTATCCTTTGATAGTATTTTTGTTTTAAAGAACTTTATTCTCTCATTTCGTGGAGTTAGAAGATATAGAAGGTGAGTCTACCTGCCTCTCTCTAAAACTCCAAACTCATTCAAGCTCTCTAATAGTCTCACAAGTGATCCTCCAGTGGGTTTTCAGAGGCAGTAAAAATAAAAACACAGAGGGTCTTCCCTTCTTTCTTCCACTGAGCAGCTGTTGGATTCAAGCCATGTACTTTTGGGTTGGCAGCCCAATTCCTTATGACTAAGCTACCAGAACTTTCATAGAAGCCACGTTTTAAAAGAATTGAAAATAACATACTTAATGCTTACCCAGAACACTTGATTGTGTTTATGTGAAACTATACTTGAACCAGAAGGAAGTCATCAGAACAGAGCAAGGAAACACCACATGGTTTAAAATCGGGAAGGGTATATGCCAAGGATGTGTCCTATCTCCATACCTTTTCAATCTGTATGTGGAATAGATCATCTGGGAGGCTGAGGAGGAATGTGGCATTAGGATTGGAGGAATACTCATCACCAAACTGTGTTATGCAGATGACACAACCCTGCTTGCTGAAACTGAGGAGGACCTGAAGTGTTTGCTGCAGAAGGTCAAGGACTGCAGCCTTCAATATGGATTGAAGCTCAACATCAATAAAGCCTTCAGTATAGATTGAAGTTCAACATTGACAAAGATTCTTACCACTGGGCTGATTGGCAGCATTATAATAGATGGTGAAGAGATTGATATTGCTAACAGCTTTAGTTTGCTTGGCTCCACTATCTACACCTTTGGTATTGGCAGCCATTCAATCAAAAGACAAATTGCATTGGGAAAGTCAGCAGTCCAAGACATCTCCAGAATACTGAAGAGCAACAATGTCAGTCTGGAGACTAAGGTGCACGTGATCCAAGCCATGGTCTTCACAATTACATATTATGCATCAGAATGCTGGACAATGACTACGGATGACAGAAGGAGAACTGATGCCATTGAGCTGTGGTTCTGGAGAGGGACAGTGCAAGATAGGAAGATCCTTAATGAGATGGATTGACTCAATGACTTGGGGTAATGGGGGTAGATGTTTCAGAGACAATAAGGCTAGCTCAGGATAGGGCAGAGTTCAGAGCTGTTGTACATATGGTCACTATGAGTCGCAGGTGACTTGACGGCACACAACAACAACAAGGAGCTTTGGTGGTGCAATGGTTAGGCACTCTGCTGACTGCTATTGGGAGGGTCAGTATTTCAAACCCAGTATCTGCTTTTCTTTTGAAGTAAATCTCTGTAGCCCTTCTACAAAGGCAATAGTCTAACACCCTCATGTTTGAGAAGAGGACCATGGAACTCATTCAAAGGCTTGTCCATGGTTACTAGTAGCTACAGTGTGACCTCTCTGGACTCATTATTCTCATCATCTTTCTTGCTTCTCCAATTTTATCATCTCATTTTTCAAAAATGCCTGTCCAGTGCCTGTTGTATGTACCAGAAGTTTAAAATAATTATGAAATGTGAAAGTTAAGAAGCAAGTTTCTCTCATAGTGGGACTGGCGTTATCTTTTCTAAATGAAAAAAAAAATATTGTTATTAAATCAGATTTGTTGTGAAATTGTCTTAACTGTATTCAGGTTTTTTTATCCATTGTAGCATTTTTTGGAACAGAAGACATAGCTTCTATTAACAGGTAATTTTTAATTAAAATTATAATTACATATGACAAAAAATGTACGTAGTGGCATGTGTACTGTGAACAGTGACTTTTATTTTCACTTCCGTACCTATCACTTGGCCCTATGGTAAACATTTTCAGTATTTTGTGTGGCATCTACTTCCTAAATGACATGCCTCCGGAAACTATAAACTTTGATAAATGTTGATAGTTGTAGAGGGGCTTCAGGCCTTTTGTTCACAGGGTCGCTATGAGTCATGCTTGACTCAAAGGCAATCAACAAACAGGAACAACAACCAGAAATTTAGGACATGTATGTTGGTGGTGGTGGGTGCTGTTGAGGTAGCTCTGATTCACAGTGACCTTATTTCAACAAAACAAAACTTTGCCAGATCTCGTCCCATCCTCAGCATCTCTGCTGTGTTTGAACTTCATTGTTAGTCACAGTGTCAGTCCATGCCAGTGAGGATCCTCTTCTCTTTCGCCGACTCTACATTTCCAAGCATGATATTTCCCTTTCGGGATTGGTCCATCTTGATCGCACATCTCAAGTATATGGGATGAATTAGAATACACAGCATTACTCGTGTCTGTTATACTAAATAATATATTTTGGAGATCGCTTTACACGTCTACTTTATTCTTTTCATTAGCTTCATAATATTTCTCAATATTGACATACCATAACTTGGCACTTTCCTGTTTAGGATTTGGGGGTTTTTTACAAATGATTGTGCAGTAAACATTCCTTGACATCTATCTTGATATGCAGTGTTAGTCTAAAGTTGGCTTTTTTAGCCATTACCTTAGCCACCTCTGGTCTCCAGCTATTTTAACTGTAGACACATGGTCTTGCAAATCATCAATAGCTGTGGGACTGGGAGAGAGTGCTTCCCACACTAGGCAAGTAAGACTTGAGGGAGACTGGAGTGAGACCCTGGTGATGGTGGTGGAGAGACTTTGGCATTGCTGTAGAGGAACTGTGGCAAGGTTTAACCAGAGGAGGCCTGAGATAAAGGCTGCAGTTAAAAGTTTTGCTGTGGTTGACAGATAATTAAGGAGAAGCTGGTTATAATGTTTCTGAGGAAAACCTTGCTGGATGATTGAGGAAACCAGAGGCTTCTTGAATTTGTTTAGATGAACTGAAACCAGAGTCTAGACTAATTGAGGAATTATGTCTTGGGACTACTGGGCTAAAACCTGTATTTGCATTGGGTGATATTCTTTGCCTCACCCACTCTCCAAATTATTTCCCTAATAAGCCTCATTCTCAGTACCACAACTGTGAATAAAGTCTGTAGGTCAGCAACAAACAAACAAACTCCTTGCTGTTAGTATGGGTCTAGAGGGACCATGGAGCTAGGCTACAGGCTCTTAATCTGCTTTCTGCTCTGGGGCAGTGAGGGGCTGTGCTCTTCTCACTCTCTCTGGCTCTTTCAGAGAGATGCTCAAGGCACGGTGTCCCCATGTCTCATTTTCTGCTCTCTAGACAGTACGTTTTGCCAGCCTCTCCAGCATAGATTCCTGACACTACAGTCGACTCTTCCTAGCAATTTAAAATGGCTTTTTATTTTTGAAAGACTTTTCTCTCCAAAGATACTGTATAAAACAATATTATTTTATTATTTTGTGCATTACTGTACGCTTAAACGTTTACATCTTTCTGGACTATTCAATATTATACCCATAGGATACTTCAGGGTTACAGCTTGCTTAGAGTTTTTAATTCTTTCAGATGGAAATTTTTAGTATTTTTCCCTCTCCGTTTTCTAACTCCATGGCCTTTCATTATTTCATGGCAATATGTTACTTTGTCTTCTTGAGCAGCCTTTGAAATCTGTTGAACTCTTTCACAGCATCATTTCTGTCATTCTTTTTATCTATTGTACTTTAGGAGCAAATTCAAAAGTCATTTTTATTATAGTTTGGTAATTGACAATATGGTTTTTGCAATCACTTGTTATGCATCAGAGAGTTGGACAATGACTAGGGAGGATAGAAGGAGAATTGATGCCTTTGAGCTGTGGTACTGGAGAAGAGTATTGAATGTACCCTGGACTGCCAAGAAAACAAACAGATTCATCCTGGAGAGGGTTAAACCAGGCTACTCCTTGGAGGCAAGGATTCTGGGGCTTTATCTGACATAATTTGGACATGTTGTGAGGAGAGACTGGTCCTTGGAGAAGGACATCATGCTTGGTAGGGTAGAGGGACAGCGCAGGAGGGGAAGACCCTCTATAAGGTGGATTGATTCAGTGACTGGGGTAATTGGGATGGGTGTGTCAGAGGCAATGAGATTGGCACAGGATAGAGCAGGGTTTAGGGCTGTTGTACATAGGGTCGCTATGAGTCGCAAACGACTCGATGGCACATAACAACAACAACAACAACAACAACAACAATTGACAATATGCACGGTACGTATACATCCCCAGACAGTCTAGCACTTGGATGGTTTCATTTTTGTGTTTCTCCTGCTGCACATTTGCAGTTGTTTGTGTATAAGAAGTGAAGCAGAGCTCCAGCTTTCAGTCTTTTACTTGAATCTTGCTATTGTTTCATCACTAATTTTTTTGATAATTCATCTTTCATAGACTCTTAAAATACTTCCATAAAGTACTAAATGTTAGTACACAGTGACAGTAACAATGAGCTTGAGCATCTCAGAGCTCATGTTTACGGTACAGGATGGGCAAGTTCAAGGGTCAGATCTGTTGTTCATAGGGTCTCTGTGAGTTGTTGTCGACTTGATGGCACCTACCAATAACAATAGATGTCTGCAGGTAGATAGTTGGACTTATTCCACTGCATTTTACTAAGAGATTTTATTCTTTTTTTATTAAAAAAATTCTTCTTGTATCAACTACTAAATACTGAAATTACATAAAAGAAAATGTCATATGAAAAATAAAAAATTTACCTGTATAACAAACAAAAGATACATTCATAAACATTTTTGTATACATGAATGGTTTCTAAAAATTTAGATTATATATTGCATCGACTTACAAAGAATATATTTATGCTTTTGTTTTAATAAGATGTAAATTGAGACAGGTTAATTAATTTCAATCTTTTTGGAAGTTATAGTGTGGATTCTAAAACACTTCCCCCCCCCTTCTGTTGATTTCTTAGATTTGATCCTTATTCTGTCACTTGCTTTCTGAAGAACGTTCACTCTTTTGTGATGGGACCCTTGATAATCTGGAAGGTTAGTGTTACTTAAGTTTTGTTCACCTATACTTTCTTAAGATTATGGACTTTGATGACATATTTGGAATTAGGTAGCAATGGGGAAATGATATCCGTTTAGACTAGTCGTTATCACCACTGCTGATTTGGAGTGGGACTCTCTAGCCCTTACCCCAAAATAAGTTTAGTCTGTACTCTTGGACCTATTTCATGCCAAGAGAGTACAGATGCAGGTTAGTCCTGGAAAGCCTGGCAGAGGCGGCACCTTCCCGCAGAGGGTTTGGTTGTGAGTCAGCATTGCCCCCTGCTGGCCCTGCAGTGTCTGCGGTGTATTTACAGCATAAACTGACAAGACCATCTGACAAGCCTGTGCACACATCTCTTTGTCTTGTCTGTCTGCCTGCATATCTGCTTGTAGACTAAGGTTTATTGCTGACAATATTGCAGGATCATATGTGTGATATTTACCTTGTTAGCATGTGTTCCTTCTTGTAATCATGGTTACCATGTTTCTTGTGTACCTCCCCCTGTCTTCTTTTCTGTGTACCAATCACCCCTTTACTGTGTATTCCCTGTCCCTTGAACCATTTTATTATGTGTCTCTTGTCTATTTCCTGGTTTCTATTCCTTTCCCCCTTTCCCATTCTTTCTCTGTGTAAACCACTCTTTAGCCATCATGGTGGATTCATATAAACCCATTTAATTGTAATATTTAATAATGTATTTTATGTTGCACATACATCTTCTGGAATCTTTAAACTGTTAGAATTGTTAGACATTACATCCAACACAGTTTCTTACTATTGATGGGTATATGTATTGGTGTCTTTAAAATCTTTTGTCATGAATATTTGAACACTAATTTTTAAAAATAATTCCCTCATTGTTTGTGATTATTATCGCCCTTCTGTCTCAGTGCTCACTTTTCACTGTTGTTAGGAGCCGTCGAGTCCACTATGACTCGTAGTGACTCTGTGAACAGCAGATCTGAACTCCGCCCTCCCCTGAGCCATCCGCACCATCTCTGATATGAGATGAGTCCATTGATACCGTCCACCACTGTGTCAGCTCACCTAGTGGACGGTTTCCTGCTCCTTTGTTGACCCTCTACAAGTATATATGCTATTCACTAGTATACATTAAAGTTACTTGAGAACTGGAAATATTCTTATAAGCAGAAATGGTATTTCTTTCAAAGGGTACTTCACACACCTCATCTGCTCACGGCACCATTTGCTGTTCTTCTAAACAGGTTTTAATCCCCTTCATCCTTGTGATGTGTGTTTTTGAAGCAATCCGGTTAACTACCCAGCTGCCATTGAGAAGGTAAGACAAACGTTTAAGAAGCATTGGCTATGTCTTAATTTTGGCTCGTGAGAATAAACATGTGAAGGGCTTTCATAGAATGGCTGTGAAGTCACTGTAACATGTTGTTGTTGTTGTTATGTGCCATCGAGTCGTTTGCGACTCATAGCGACCCTATGTACAGCAGCCCTAAACCGTGCTCTATCCTGTGCCAATCTCATTGCCTCTGACACACCCATCCCAA